ATGACATGTCAAGCAACGTTTCAGATAATGAAAATAACATTGATGAAGAAGGGGAATTTCATGAGGACGACAATGATGGTATTCCTGAAAGCGAGGGTAGTTATTCGTATAGTACATCGAGTAATGAAGAACAAGTAGAGGAAGAAGACATTGACTAGATGTTTTTGTTTCTTTATAGAAGGATGGTTATATTATCTAATTTTTAGTTTTTTCATGCAAATTGGTGAATGTGATTTTATGTATAAGTGCCCTTCATGAGAATTAAACAAAATGAAAATTTATCATTCCTTGGTACATTTAAAGCTTTTACTAAAAGGGACATGTGTTTTTGAGATACTTGTATGTACAATATTTTCATTAAATATCCAATTAAGTAATCATTTTTGTTATAATCCAGTTTCTTTACATTGAAATTGTATAAGTTTAATCAAGATAACATAAACATAACAACAAATGTTTATTCTTTCATGTAGTATTATAGACATATAAAATGCAATAAAACAAACAAAATATATTACCAATTCAAAAACATATCATTTAAACCAAAACTTACCAATTTCATTGGTCATAAAAACAATTCCTCCATTGATCATACTAACAATAAGAAAATTAAGCATACAACATCCCAAAAAGGAAACAAACCAAACAAACCATCATGAACTTGATAATTCCAACTTGACCACCTTCAACTCGAGGATCATTATTACCATATTCATTAGTATCTTGAATAACAACTTGATTCGGGGTTTAATTGACATGAAAATTGTGAGGTGCGTAGGGGGGGGGGGGGCAAAAATGATATCTTCACCATTGGATTGAGCTCTCAATTCGTACGTCTTCTCTCTATACCACTTGTTCGGGAGTTGTGGGTCAATCCAAAGAAAAAACACACAATTTATGTATTCATCATTGTAGTTTGTGCAACCAATAAACCTCCCTCCAGGATTCTTTAGCGTCCATGCCATCCACATTCCAACCGGATGTCCACATCCACACAGTCTCACATTACTGCTTGAAGACAGCGACATCGATTTGCCCTAATTTATTTTCTTCCGCTTGTGGGTTTGCGAATATGGGACTTGGAATGCACAAAGTATTTATGCAAATAAATTTCATAATATGACACTATAATGTAAAATACTTTACAAAAAATTAATTCCTATAAAAATTAGTAACAAATGTTGCAACATATACTTGCTCAATACTAAAAATTCCACGAGTTTTATTGCCGTTGCAAATTTCCATAGCTAAATATCTATGAATTTGAAATACTCCTTATCAAACTTGCTATGAAATTTAATTTCATAACAAATGTCGTCAAATATAGCTAGATTTTTTTTCCATAGCAAAACAAGCAAAAGAAATTAATTCCATAGCATAACTCTCTAGCAAATACCTACGAATGCTACTTTCATAGCAAAACAACTATGACATTGTTTTCTGTTGAAAAATTCCGTTGCATATTAACCACGATAATTAATTCCATAGCAACAGTACAACATAAAGTGTTTTTGTACAAAATTTTCGTTGGAAAATTGCTTCGGATGTTTTTTTAATAGAAATATTGGTGCCATAATACCAACGGATTTGGAGTCGGTTGCATTTTGCCTAACATGTCTCATGCTCGCTGCCGGAAATAAATTATGTAGACAATGTGGTAACAACCTTGCTATGGAATGGTATTCCATATTACGATTCATTGCAGAATAACAACAAAAAAACGTTTTATAGTGTCATTCCCTAAAAAAATCGTGTTTTTTTTGTAGTGACATGAGCTTATATTTTTATATAGATAACACCTAATACAATCATAACCAATACAACCACTATTTTGCCAATATGTGAAAGCTACAAATTGAATGACACAAATTTCATTGAATGACACTAGAACATCATAAATGTTCTAGAATATAAATGAAATCTTTATATCCTTGATGAAACTTATCTATGATGTGGCTTTTACTCTAATACATTGTGTTTAAGGTTATTGATTAATTGAGAGATTTTGGGTGTCAGGGGCGTTGACACCATATGGATATAATTACAAAAAATAAGGTTTTGAGCTGGAGATGGTTTCGTAGATGATTTCACAACGACGGTCATTGAACTGATTGGTGGAGACACCATAGGGTTGCGGTAAATAAGGGTTTAATGGTGAATTGTTTCAAAGTGGAGTGTAGACGAGTTTTTTTAAGTAAAGGGGATTTCTTTGCAAAATGGTCCCTCAAATTAGGCATTAACATTTCTTTGCAAAATGGTCCCTTAAATGAAAAAAAAAGGCAGATAGACCCTCACGTGAGAGGCACATTCGGTGGTTAACAAAAACAAAGTAACGAGAGTTAAGTTGAGGAACATTTTCCACATATAAACATGGTAAAAAAGACTACCTATCCAAAAAAAATTGTGGTTTGGATCAAACCCCGTATAAAATGCATATCATAGCGACTATTTTTACAGTTTTGTCAATCTCTTAGTCCTTAAACGATACGACCACATCTAAATTTTAATATCAACGTAGACAATTAGTAAAAATATGATATTGGTCACTAAACTATTTTTTTTCACAGTAGATCCTAAAACTTCCTCGACATGTCACCCTTCCACGTAAGCTAGTAACTAGGTATCAATTGAAAATTAATAGAAATAATTTAAATGGCAAGCAACTTACGACTAACAACACCCTATGATTGGCGTTCTTTTCTATGGTTGATAGGCTTCTATTGACATCTAATCGATCCTTAGGCAATAGACGATATGTGGTTGTCTCATCCGAAGTCAAACCTGTTAATCTCTATGTAGACAATTAATAAAACTTATAGTATTTGTCATTTCGATGGGGCCTAATTTATTTTTTTATTATTATTAGCATCAAACAAAAATATATATTAAAAAAACACACTTACAACTATTTTTTATCAAACACATCTACAATAAATAAAAACTACAGTTTTCATTTGTTATTTTTTAATTAATTTTTTATTTTTTAAGACATACTCATATTTTAATTTTATTAAAAGGAGTTTAATATTAACAATAAAATTTGTAAAAATAATAACATATAAATTTATTTTTATTAATTATCAAAGTTATCAACCATATGAATATTATTATAATCGACTTTGAAAATGATAGGAAGTCTAAAATAAAACAATAAACAATAGATTTATGATAAGAGAAATCTTACCAACCATTTAAAGAATAATAAGTTTAATAATAGGTGTATAATTTGATTTGATGTAGTGATTATATATGTCATCTTTCGAAAATGTTGAATGTTTAAATTTCGTTTGAGAGATAAGTAGGGGCATATAACTAGATTATGATGTATCTACATCTTGGTTTGGCTTAAAAAACTTAAAGAAAAACTTTTTAATAAGTTACTTTTTGTAAATTATTTGAAATCCATCAATTTTGCCTAATATAGTAATATAGTTAGGAAAAGTATAATATTATGTTTTTATACTTAAAAGATGAAAAAATATACAAAATTAAAAAAAAAAAAAAAAAATACAAGTAAGAGAAAAACAAAAACAACTAATTGTGAACTTGTGATTTTAAATTATTTTTATAATTGTATTCCAACAAAAGATGAAAAAATATACAAAAAAAAAAAAAAAAAAAAAAAAAAAAAAAAAAAACAAGTAAGAGAAAAACAAAAACAACTAATTGTGAACTTGTGATTTTAAATTATTTTTATAATCGTATTCCAACAACAAGAATAACTATTTTTAAATTGCTTTGTAGGATCCTATCAACAAAAATTTTAAAACTTGTAATGTTAGAAGTTTCAAATTATAAAAATATGCATAACTTGTAATGAATCAACACTTTCACATTTAGATATGCATTTGAGATGCATAACTTTTTCTTGAATAAAATATGATGAAAAGATTATTAAGTTCTTACGAATTTATGAATTCTCGGAAGATCTTACGAATTTATGAATTATGCAAGGAAGGAGGTATTCGGGGTTGCGTTTTCTTGATAATCCTACCTCTTTTTTGTTGTCAAGCTGATTTCATCTCCACCTCTAGTAATAATCAATTTAAACTTCTGATTTCTGGTTTATATATGTAGTTAATAGTCGGTTTAGGCTTCTGATTTCTAGTTGTGGTTAGATAGCTTTTGATTTCATCTCTACTTTTTCTTTATCGGTTAGCCATGGTTTCTTGCATGTTGTTGATGTGGGAAGATGGGTTTTTGCAGAGGTTACATGAGATTTGTGATGGAGTTGGTGTCATCTCCTCCGGCTCCAAAGAATACTCCGGTAAGTATAGATTGAAGGTGGGTTTCTCAAGTTCAACACATTATTGTGGATTTGGGGCAGGAGGATTGTCGCGGATTTGTGTATTTGTGTTAACACAGTAAACACACTCAAATGAAAATGTGTGTGTGTATATGTGAGAGAGAGAGAGAGAGAGAGAGAGAGAGAGAGAAATAAACAAGTATTAATTTTTTTTAGTTTAAAAAAAGATATATTTTTTTAGGTGCAAAAATGATCCCTTAAAAATGAAAAGACAAATATACCCTCATGTGAGAGGTACATGAGGGGTTAACAACAACAAGTTAACACAAGTTAAGTCTGGGTATCAATTCCACATACAAACCATTCTAAAAGGACTATAAATCCAAAAAAACTTAAGGTTTAGACTAAAACTCCAAAAATTTACATACAATAAGATATTTTTTACAATTTATTCTTTTCTAAATAAAAAAAAAAAGAATAATTATTGAAAATAAGATGTAACCGGAAAAGATGTAAAAATTATTTAATATTTGATAAAATTATTGTTTCGATCTAAATAAAAACCCAAGTCAAAGTCAAACTGGTATTGTTTAAATCTGGGTGTGTTTAGCACCACCCGTCATTTTGTTGTCTCCTCTAAAAATAGAAAACGCAAAATTTTGTTTTCCTCCTAACCTCAGCTTCTATTCGAGAAAAAAGGAACCAAGCTATAAAGATGCCTCATTCATCACCTTTTCCCTCTTACCTTAATTCACACAAAAAATTAAGGTTATCCTAAAATTTTAACTAATCTGTAAGGGGGGGCCTTTGTCCCATACATTCAACAGGGGGAGGGTCGAACCTACTCTTCAGGCCCTCTCTCAATCATCAACGCTTGTTTACATATCATAAAGCTTATATTAATTAGATTTAGGTTTTAGGAGATATATGTAGAGGTAGGATAAGAACCCCAGAAGAAACACAAAAGAAAATCTAAGAATAGAAAATTTTATTTATTTCGGACGAGGTAAGGATTAAGGATGGGCAGCACCGCAAAAGTTGCCATTCTAAGCGTGACTTTCATAGCGCTTCTGGCCGCTGTTGTTGCATTGATTGTCGTGATGCACAGACATTCCGAGGAAAAGGCAGAACATACCAAACAGGACGATGACGTAAAGGCCTCCATTAGAGCGGTTTGCGAGCACACTGATTACAAGGAAACTTGCGTTCAAAGCCTCTCCAAAACAGGCACCCATTCTACTGATCCTTATGACCACGTAAAGGCCACGTTTGAGATCACAATTAAGCAACTTGAGGATGCTACTAACAACTCCACGCTCATGAAAGAGATTCATGCAGACCCGAGAACCAATGATGCTCTCAAGTGTTGCAAGGAGCTTGCAGATCTTGCTGTTATGGATCTAAGAAGATCTGTCGATAAAATGTTAGGTTTTGATCTTAGTGACGTCGCTCATTCCCTTGTCCAACTTAAGATCTGGATGAGTGGTGCGATAACTTATGAACAAACTTGCCTAGACGGGTTTGAAAAGACCGAAGGAGATTCAGGAGAGAGAATGAGAAAATTGTTGAACATATCAATGGAGTTAACTAGCAACTGCCTTGCTATGATTACAGATCTCTCACAGGCGTTTGAAGTAATCGACACACCCCAGACCAGTAATCGTCGTTTGCTTCATCTGTCCAACAACGACCTCAATCTTCCTGAATGGGTAGATGATAACGACAGGAGTATGTTACAGAAAGCACCCAAAAAAATCAATCCAAACCTGACTGTTGCACAAGATGGAAGTGGAGATTTCTTGTCAATCGCAGAAGCTTTGAAAGTCATTCCTACTAAATCAAAGAAAGGGTTTGTGCTCTATATCAAACAGGGCGTTTACAATGAGATAATCCGATTCCCTAAAAACTTGACTCATCTAGTGCTCATCGGCGATGGCCCAGAGAAGACAAAGATAACAGGAAACTTGAACTACATAGACGGAGTTTCCACCTTCCACACTGCAACTGTTGGTAAGCTAGCCATTGTAGTGTTATCTTTTCCGAAAAATAAAGTAGAAACTTAAATATATATATACCGGCTTTATGTAGGTAATTAACACGGTGTCAACAATATTTATGCATGCAGCTGTTTCTGGAGACTTTTTCATTGCCAAAGATATTGGATTTGTGAACACAGCAGGTCCCGAAAAGCATCAAGCTGTCGCTTTACGTGTTAGTGCTGATAGAACAATCTTCTACAACTGCCACATGCATGGCTTCCAAGACACCCTCTACGCACACACCTACCGCCAGTTCTACCGCGATTGCACAGTCTCCGGTACGATTGACTTTGTTTTTGGAGACAGTGCGGCGGTGTTCCAAAACTGTATCATGGTTGTTCGGAGGCCAATGGATAACCAGAATTGTATTGTCACAGCACAAGGAAGGAAGGAAATGCGACAGCCAACAGGATTGGTTCTTCAAAACTGCAGCTTTGTTGCGGATCCTGGGTATTTTCCGGTGAGAATGGAGCTCAAATCCTACCTTGGACGACCATGGAAGCAGTATTCAAGAACCATTATAATGGAATCCTTCATTGATGATTTGATCCAGCCTCAAGGGTGGTTGCCATGGAATGAAACTTTTGCTTTCGATACCCTTTATTACAGCGAGTTTAATAATCATGGACCAGGATCTAATAAGTTGCAACGTGTGAAATGGCCTGGCGTTAAGGAGTTAACTACAAAAAGAGTTAAACGCTTCTTGGCCGGAAAATTCATCACCGGTGATACATGGATCCCGCCGACAGGTGTGCCTTACAACTCAGAGTTTATGTTTGAACCCCCGAAAGATGATTCCAAGAAGGATAAAGATAAGAAGGATAAAGATAAGAAGGATAAGAAGGATAAGAAGGATAAGAAAGATAAAGATAAGAAATCTGATGGAGAGAAAGGAGACGATAATCCAGGTAAAAAGAAAAAGAAGAAACGTAAGAAAGACAAGGGTAGATCGATATCAGAGCCTCCATCTTCAACCCCAGCACCTTCACCAGCTGAAATTAGTCCTAGCAACATACCTAACCAAGCACCCAACAGTGACATAAGTGCACCAGCTTTAAGCCCTGCAGCACTGTCACCAGAAGCATCCCCACAAATCAGAAAAGGATCTTTTTTCAATAGAATTTTTGGAAAGGTTTTATTATAACTGTAGTCGCGAGTTAAAGGATTAGTGTGTATCTATGTAGTTGTTTATAGTTCCAATCGGTATGCCACCCGTGATAAGAAACGAATGTGGCTTTCAGTTTAAGATTAAATTTTTAACATGGAATCATATGTAACATATATAAAGTAAAATGGTGAGAAAACTACAACCACAGCGTAAACATTGATGATGATGATCATGACTTCATCTATCACCATAAGCAGCATTCATTTAATCAAACCATGTTTGAAGCAGAACGCCAATTAAAAGTAAGGCCGGTACCACGTTACCTTGCCACACCATCTTCTCCTCTTTATAATATATCTATAAACATCAAAAGGAAATGGTGGTTTTTTATTTGAAACTGCGTTGATGAAGAAGCAAATTAGGAAAAAAACAGAGGAATAACACGTGATTCGTCTCGTTACCACCATCACGCCCGGTGGCATAACACCCGATAACGGCTGGCTGGGGCGGTGTTCCTGCCGCCATGGTGTCACACCCCCAAACCAGAATGGCGGAAACATTCGGGGGTGGATGACTTCACGTAGTATCACAACGATTGAATATTGCAAAGAAAGTAACACAACCATCATATATATAACAATGAAAAACGTGTATTGTTGCGTTATACATGTTATCAAAAGAATATTACAATATGATGAATAAATGTTTAATGATAAAATCATCCTTTGTGTTCCTTCTTCCAAAAGCTGGTAGTTTACCTGTATCACTGATTCCCTGAGAAATACAAGTGGTTTTGAAAAGTGTCAACATTTAAGTTGGTGAGTTCATGAGTGTTCCGAGTTGAAAAGTATATTCCTTTTGGTAGTAATTTGGTAAACGAGATCTTTAGAAAATCCAATATTTTCTTGTAAAATGTAAAAGGTTCCAAAGTTGGAATGTGTTAGTAACTTTTATAAACAATTGATAACAATAATTTAGTATGAAAATATAATGTAGAAATACTGCGATGCACATATGAACCTTGTAAATCAATCTTGTTTTATACTTTTTATGTGAGTTTTATAACCATACTATTGACACTGACGGCCTGTAACAACATTCTTCAAGTGTTGCAGTGTTATGACATTTGTCACCCCAGACCTGCCGGTCTAACTATAGCTAGTAGTTTAGGTGCGGGATTGTCAATCCCGTATAGATCTATACACAAGTATCACGCTCTCCCTCCAAGAGATTATGGTATATAATACAGGACTTGAAATGCATACAAAAATGTACGTTGAAGTTTAAATGTCTCACATTTACCTAGTATAAATAGGTTTACAATGAAATGACTTTACTCCTCTTTGAAAGTGTTTCGTTTTTCAAATTGTATAAAAATGTAGGATTGACTTGCTAACTATACCCATTATAGTTCTTCAGATAGTATGTTCCATTTCGTAGACATAACTTAGTGATATAATTGCCCTTGTATACATAAGATTTTTGTATCGATATTCGAAGTTAGAAATTGTATTTATGTTTAGAAAACGATACTTTTAACGTGTAATGTACTTGTATTTCCCCCCCTAAAACATGTAAAAGAATTGAAAAGTAGGGGTATGAACTCACTCGTTAAGTTTGAAGAGAGGGGCTAGAGTTGAGCAGAGTTTCGATCTCGGATAGTTGCGTCGTCGGGCTCTTCGGGAATTTCTGCAACGTAAATCTTTCGTCGGGGCTCGAGTGCGGAAACCGAGGTGAGAAAAGGGTCTCTGGAGCTGGGAGAATGTCTGAGAAATGGTGAAGGTGTGCCAAAACCCGAGGCTTATGCCCTCTATTTATAGGGCTGAAAACCCCCGTACGCGGCGCGTACTGCCGGAGTACGCAGGGCGTAGTCAGTACGCGGGGCGTACTTCGGTTACGCGGGGCGTAATAAGGCGTCATGGCTTACGACTCCTGGCTAGCTAGGCGTAGCTTGGGCGGGCCGATGGGACTCGACCCTGGGTCTAGTACGCGGGGCGTACTCCCAGATTACGCGGGGCGTAATCCCTGCTTCCAACTTCTAAATTCCGTAACTTTCGCGTACGAGCTCCGTTTTTCGCGTTCTTTATATCCACGCGTAGGTGAGATTATGCTCTACAACTTTCATTTAGACTCCGTCGGCTAGTTTTGACTTTATTTTTAATGATATAATTTTAATAGGCCGGGCCTCCTAAAGTTCGTTAAAATTTCATAGGTTCTTTATTCGACGTCGGTTTTCGTTTGTCTTTTTATTGTTTTATTACCATCGAGGAGATCTTCAACTTCCGTTTAGGTGGCGATAGCTAAATAATACTCGATCTTCAATCCGAGTTTTTAGCCCTTTACTACTGTTACGAAATTTTGAAAATTCGTAACTTCTTCATACGAGGTCCAAATTCGGCGATCTTTTTATGCACGCTCATCTTTCAACGAGATCTACGACTTTTGTTTAGATACTTTAAGGCTAAAATGTATTTTATTGAGATTTCACTTTTTACATCAAATTATGTTTTAACGTCGTGTCGTAATTATACGAGTGGTTATAATTTCTTCAATATAACTCGGTTTTGAGTGTTCTTTATGTTTTTGGAAACCTGGGCATGATATCTAATATTCGATGCATCCCAACTTAGATACCTGAACACTTTATTTTCGAGGTTAATTTCGTTGTTTTTAGCTTTCGAGTGTTTACAATGCTTTTGGGAAAAATAGGGTTGTCACACATGGTGCCGTTAATTAAGGGCTTGCCACATAAGCATAACGGCCGGTGGCGTTGCCCGCTCCGTATACTCTAATGAAAATTATGGATCGAGATATATTCGTAGAACGATAATAACTTTATGTCTATATGATGGTGACATTTTCATTTTAACTGGAGATTTATAGGATAAAATTTGTTGGAATTTATTGAATAAAATATAGTAGGCTAAAAATAAGACCGAAGTAAGTGCTCAAGGAGTAACGATTTTAATGGATAGTAGGGCATCCACAATGTATTAAACCATTATCATTTTATTTACTATATAATTATATATTAATTAATTTTCCTACAATACATTGAACTCAATAGAATATATATTTAATAGTTAAAATGTTTTTTCTCATAGAGTTCAATGACCATTAAATTTCATATCTATTAAATGTCAACACCACATCCCACAATAGTAAAGTTTAATCCATTGAATGTCAATTAGGCATGTCACTTCATTCAACTCTCACATTGAACTATACATTGTGGATGCTCTAAGGTAGAAGATGGATACAACTTGGATTTTTTTTATTTTTTTTATTATTATTATTATTTTTTTTTTACAATGGATAATCGTTCCATAAAACATGACCGGATATTGGCTCTCAATCAAATGATTTGGACAAAAAGGATGAAACATTATTTTATTCAAGAAAGCTATTCATCTTTCTTATTGAGCCTCCTTTGTTGAGCTATACGACTTGGCAAATGTTATCCAACATTTGCTATCGACTTGTCTTACTATTTAGCTATCCGACTATGATCATATCCAACATCTTCTATGCAGTAGCGGAGCCAGGGTCAAAATGTGTATTCCAGAAAAAAAAAATTGAAAAAATGGCAATTTCATTAGACATAAAGTTCAACTTCCATAACAAAGTTACGTTTTGAAGTTCACATCTTCGCTGTTTCATTTTACGAAAATGAGTAATTACATTTTCAGTCTTAACATTCTCGAGTGCTTCCTCTTTTACATTACAAATCAAAGCATCATTCGTAAAATCGTCACCTATTTTATTATGCAAATCGGTCTTCAAGAACTTCATTGTAGAAAACACCCTTCAACAGTTACGATTGCAACGGGCAAAACCAAAGTTAGTTTTAATAATCTATAAATGAAAGAAAAAGAAATGTGCTTCCCAGTTTCCACCAACAAACGAGAGAGTTCTGTAATTCTCTTCAAGTTGAAAAATCTCTCATCATGGAGCAAAGAATGATAATAGATATCAAGTCACCGATTAAGTTGCACCATTTCTAAATGGTCAAAATCATTTTTGTATTTCTCGCTTAGCTTCAATAACTTTGCTTTATCAAAACTAGAAAATGAGTCACAATGACTCAAAGCTGCCATTTTATCTATCAAATTTGTGCAAACTTTACTAAATCTATCCCCAAATTCTTGAATTTGCATATCCAAAACTGTGTTAAAAATCACAACTTCAAAATGATGTCGATTAGTCATATTGGTCCTACGCTTTCGTGGGATAACATAATATCCCAACATGTCTACAATTCAAATACTATGTTTTTCACAAAAAGTATGTACCTTCTTCCAAATTTGTGGAAACCCATCTTTTCTAAAAGCTTGCAAAGCTTTCTTTTTCTCTTTTACTAACGAAGCCGCTTCCAAAATATCTTGATCTTTTTTTTGAAGATGCTTTGACAAGATATCCGTGAGGCCTACAATTTCCAGCATTAAGTGTAAAAGTAACACAAAATCAAGTGTCTTGAAATTTGAGAAAATACATTTGCTTGATTACGGTTAGATAAAATAGACCCCTCATCTTTGATATATTTATGGACCACAAAAAATTCAACAAACTTACAATTGTTCTATAATGTGAACCCCATTTAGTATCTCCAACTCGAACACGAGAACTCTCTTGATTCAACCCTCTTCTTGTTTCAATTTCACCAATGCCAATTTTGGCTGCAACTCTTTCTTTTTACATCTCTCGTATCATATCTTTGCTCTTACAAGACCCACAAACGACAGTAACTACCAAAGCTAGTTGTTCAAAAAATTATTCAACAAGATCATGTTTCTTTGCAACCGCCACAACCACCAATTGAATTTGGTATGCAAAACAATGTATATAATGTATGGAACTGTTTTCATTTAAAATCAAAGATTTCAAACTAAATGCACCATTCATATTACTTTCTCCATTATAACCTTTCCCCATCACCTATATATTTGAAAAAGTTAATAAAAAATATAAGACACAAGAATAAAATTAATATATTAACGGAATAAATATTTTATGATTTCTCACCGGAGCCATACTCA